ACTTGTTGGTTTAAGCAATGCTATGTCTGCAAAGATAAACAGTAGGGCATCGCTTGCCTTCAGTAGAATGTCCGTCTCCTTACACAGTATGATCTGGTTACTGGTATCATATCCCTCCAACCCAATGCTTGTTTGTTGTTAGCTAAATCTTTTCTTTTCCAAATGCTCTGTGACTTTCCACATGGCTGGAGTACCCTTCTCCACAAGATCAAGGGTGATCTCTGTCAGTTCCTAAAGTAAGAAAGCTTCCTGATTAGCACTTGTGAAATTCTACTCCATCCCACAACCTCACTTCTCAGCCCCTCTTCACCAGCTGCTGGCTTCACCGCATACCCACGCCGATGCCCTCCTATCCTCCCATGTCTCTCTCTGTCTCAGAGCACTGAGAACTGGAGATCTTATTTGTTTCTTCCACAAAACCATGAGCCAACGGAAGGATGTCTTCTCTCCCCTTGTATATCCCCATCGCTTATCCTGGTATTTAGAAACCAAGAGACATTTTCCCATATGTTTGTTAAGTGAATAACAAGACAAGGTGGTAAATTTGAAGATTCTCTGAGAAAGTCGAAGTGGTAAAAGTAAGCTCAAATGAGCTGATTGACAGCTAGGCTCTGTCCACAGATTCCGGCTGTACCCCAAAGTTTTGTCAGTTACTTTGCAAATATGGGTTGTTAGTTTTAACATAGTGGATGATTGTGGGGAGAAATATACATTGTTCTACATTTACTGAGAAACCTGCTGTTGCTGCTCGCAGAGGAACACTGTGATGTCACAGTTTTGGTTCTGATGCTGAGTCCATCGGACTGGATGGCGGCGGAAGCTCTCTACAACAATTAGGCTGAGCCCATCAGAGAAGGCAGAAGGTAGAGGCTCTCTAGAGCTATTATGCTGAGTCCATCAGAGTGGACAGCAGGCGGAGGCTCTCTAGTGCTATTAAATCTGACCATTTTAAAGACTGTGTGTGCCCAAGGACACAAAACAAGCGAAGGCTGGAAAGGGACAGAGAGAGCTCTTCCGCTTACCCCCCACTGGCAAAGAGCCATCCGAGTGCCCTGTGTGTTGTGAAGATAGCTGCTCTCCACTCAGTGTGCAGCCTTTGATGCCCAACACAAACCAATTTCAGAGCAATTCTTCCGGTGAATGCCCTGGGCCTGCGGATCACACAATTACATCTAGAAATACTTAACCAGGAGACATTTCAGTGTACTGATCACTTGGCATTGCTTTCCTTCTAACTTGGTAAATCACCATAGCCTGTGCTTTTAAGAAAAATGCTACTTTATTCAATCAGGCTCAAATTATTGCACCAAAAGGAAGAAAAGCCTCCTAGGTTATGTGCATAGTCAGAAAAATTATTAGGATGATAAATTTTAGGGTTAAAGGTGGGTCTCTGATTAGATGGCATCCAGGGAGCAGAGGGTGTCTGTGATCAGCCCTGATAATCCTCGAAAACATACAAGGTCACGCTGTGCACATTGACCCAACAGGTCAATCAGAACATGAGATAGTTTTTATAATTGCTAATTGAGCCAAAGTCCAATACCTCCAGAGAAACATGGTGGCATGGTAGAGGCTGGGTCACAAGGCTTACACTCAAGGTGAAATAGCCCCTCTCCTCTTCATCCCACCCAAACTGAAAGTTGGAATGCCAAGGATGTGGTTACTGAGGCAGAAAGAACATGAGAAGGAATGGGAGAAAGAGAGAGAAGAGGGGAGCCAGGGAGATTTGTGTGAGAGAGGAGGGAGAGAAAAACTCCATTATCCACATCATAGTCATCTGGATATCAACGGGGGGGGGGGGGGAAGGGGGGGCTGGCCTAGAGGTCTCCAAGGTACCATCGCATTTACTCGCTCCACCTCTTGGATTCTGAGAAGAGGAACATGTAAACTACAGATAACAACTCTATCTGAAGTACTATGGTAAGATACTGACCTCTGAGCCTATCTCCCTGCTTGACACTATGATGTGGTGGGGCGGGGATGGAACACCAGAATCTGAATAATGAAGTACATGACTTGAGAGCTCTCAGCAAACCTCTGCTTTCTCTTAGCAGAGTAACGGGACTGGTAGGCTGATGAAGGACTAGTGGGTCTGAGACAAACTTGGGATGCTTTCGAGGCTGGCGGAGGATGGAGGGAAGCTTCATGCTACATCTTCTCCAAATTCCCAGGGACTGAAGATCCCAGGTTGCTGCTTCTGATCATCTATAAAAGCAAAATGCTTCTTGATTGCCTTTCCCACTAATGCCATAGACCAAATTACAGTAAATCGAATCTCTTAACAACCAGATGGCCTTGTAATTTGTCAAGGGTAAGGCAAGTGCACCCAGCAACCATGCATCAACCTCCCACACACTTGGACAGTGCCTCCACCTGCCAGCTTACTATGGGAGCTCAAAAGGAGGAGCATATGGCCTTCCTCTCCCAGGGCTCATCTGAGACCTTTATCCCATCCATCTTTGGCATCCCTTAGACGCTTATTCCTTCAGCTGATCTTATTCTTATCTTCCAACTTTAAAAATAAGTGAATGGTTTTTGTGTGTGTGTGACAGCTACTTAGATACTTAAAATTCCCCGTCCCCAAAGCAAGCCATTTTTATTTTATCTTAATTTATTGCATGTGCCTACATTAGGTCTAACTTTAGAATAATTAAGAATGGACTTGATAACCTCTCAAAGTATCTTTAACATAAATTTTAGTCATTATCAATGAAGAAAGAGCTTATGTAAAATTGGTTACTTCTATAGTCTCAAATTGAGTTTGGTTTAATATGTGTATTTGAATGAGTTGTTGTGCTGGGTTTGGGGGAGAGATTTTCGTGAGGGACCTATGGAGTACTGAGTTTTGCCTCTCAAGAAACTGCTTTCAAGACCAGAGTCAAAGACAGCCTAGCAATACAGAGAGGGGACAGAAGTCATTCATGGCTGTCCCCAGAAAAGAAACTAACCTTCAAGGAAAGGTGAGACATGAGTTTTCAGAAGGTCTGGGACATGCCGTAAAAAAAAAAAAAAAAAAAAAAAAAAAGTCAATAGCTCTTCTCCTGTGACTCCTGAAATCAGTTTTGAAGGGAAGCATTTAATTGGAACATATATTGTACCTGCAGTACTTTGTACCTATATGTCAAATACAAAAATCACCTACTCATTACATAGATGAAGATCCTCAACAAACTGGAGTATAGGTTATATTTTTTTAAGGTTTGCTTTTTAACGACTTCATATTTTATTTGTATATGCATATATTTGTGTGTGTATATACACTACATGTATGCAGGTGACCACAAGGACTGAAGAAGCTATCAGAGTCCCTGGGTCTGGAATTGCAGACAGTTGTGAGTCGCCTGAGGTGGGTGCTGGGAACCAAACTTGGGTCATCCGAAAGAGCAGCAAATGCTCTTAAACACTGAGTTATCTTCTCCATCCGTGGATGTATTCCTTGTTTTAATAGATTTTACAGTACACTTGACGTGGGTTCTGAAATTTTGAGTCTTGTAACTTTCTGAGCAGTTTTCTTTCTCTGTTAAAGTGTCGGATCTCTATCAGTCTGCCTTTCTCTAAAGTTTCTCACAAGAATTAAATAGAAAAACAAATTCTCTCTGTAAAGCATGAATTTTACAGAACCATATCACCAATCCTTGGTGTGACTATGCTTGAAAGTGCCCTGTTCCACCAACCTTTGGCAAACCTGTGGTAGCGATCTGAACTATGGTCCTCAGAGTTAATATATCTCTAGGTCAGGTGGGTTGGGGGTGGGGACTTGATGAAGCCAAGTAGCCTCTTCCTAACACAGAATTCTTTACAGAAAACCTGTGATGGGGACTCTCAGGAATTTTAGTGTGCCATCTTCCTCGTGTGACATGTCCTGCCCAAGCCATCCATCGTCCTGACTTTCCAAGTGGCAGGGTGTCACAGCTGTAGTGTGTAACACCACCAGGAGGTGCTGTGTTTGCTGTCTGGCTTCAACCTCTCTTCCTGTCTATCGGTTCCATATAGAAATGTAGCTGTATCATGTGGCCTTGTTCTTCACAGGCCCAGAAGCCCACATTTACAGAACACCACGCCTCACGCGACAGGCTGTGCCTTTAACTTGCCCTCTAGGCAGGGTCCTCCAGTGTAGACTGCTCTGGGCTTGCCTGATAAGCACAAAACTTATCTCAGAGAAAAGTGCTTGAGGATTTAAGCTTCTCTTACAGCTAATTAGGTATTGTTTTACAGATTGGGTTGTTCCTTCTGAAAGATGAGCTGCAATTTACTTCCCCTGCCCTCTTCTTAAATTTAAACCGAACTGTAAAATATGGTTGTTTGATTGTTTAGTACAATCAAGAGATTGCTTTGCACAGGGAATAGACATTCATCTCTATGCTAATGCTGAGCTTATTTGGGCCCTCCTTAATGGCTACCGTGCGGATGACAAACACTTTGTTCAGATGCCGCTCATCCATTGAAAAGGTGGTCCAGATAGTGGTCTGCTGGCCCGTCTCTGAACAATCAGTGGCATCATCTTGTTTTCATGCTGCAAGGGAGAAGGCTTTATTACCCCCATTTTACTGATGAGGATGTGGATGCTCAAGACTTTTAGCTTTTAGTCAAGCAAACTGAGAAGCAGAGAATCCAGACCACAGACTCAGCCGTTAGTCCTCAGAGCCAGCATGCGTTCAAGTTTCACACCCGCACACTGAATTTCACACCCACGCATCATGAATTTTACTCCTGATGAAGTACCAACCACAAGACTCTTTAAAACATCCTCTGACCCAAGGGTCCTTGAGTATAATGGAGAAAGGAATTATTTTTTAAAAAGTGCCTTGGGGCTGATAAGATGGGCAGCAGGTAAAAGGCATCTGCTGCCCAAGCTTAGCAATCTGAGTTCCATCCCCAGGACCCAAGGTGGAAAGAAAGAACTGGCTCCCTCAAGTTGCCCTCTGACTCCAAATGCATGCGTGTGGCACACATGCACACATGTAATAAATCTAAAATTTTCAATTGCTTTTCTTCTGTAGGGGGCCGGCTGTTCTCTCATCCTCAAGACTGTGCCCAGCACTTGATGAATGGAGATACTCTGAGTGGAGTTTACACCATCTTCCTCAATGGGGAGCTAAGCCACAAGCTGCAAGTATACTGTGACATGACCACAGATGGGGGCGGCTGGATTGTAAGTACATGCTCTAGGCACATCTTCAGGCTTCTAGTCTCCCTGACCGAGTACCTGAGGATTGCATTGTCACCATCCTTTGGATTGTCCTTTTCTCTACCCCCTTCACTTGGGTCTTGGTCTCCTCGCTACCTTCAAGGCCCCCATTCAGGAGCCCACTCATAAGCAGAGAAAGGAATGACCATTGTTTGTTTGTTTGTTCCATTTTGTTGCTATGATAAACACCACGACCAAAAGCAGCACAGGGGAGAAAAGTGTTTGACTTACACTTTCAGTCCCTAGTCCATCATTGAGGGATGTCAGAGCTGAACACAAACAGAAGCTAAAGCAGAAAGCATGGAGGAAAGTTACTTACTGGCTCCGTGGCTTATGCTCAGCTATTTCTTATACAGCCCAAGCCCACCTCCCTCAGGACGGTGCTACACTCAGTGAGATGGCCCTTCCCACTTCAGTCAAGACAATTCTTCATAGACATGGCTACTTGCCAGTCTCCTGGCAGCAATTCTTCACCTGAGGTTTCCTCTTCCAAGGTGACTCTGTGTTGGGTCAAGTTGACAACAAGAATTAAGCAGGACACATACTTAAGGGTGCAGTGGCCTATCCCAAACAAGGGATGTGAGATGACTGCCTTCCTTGCCTTTAGCTCCTTCTGCAAACCAAGTGAATGCAGGGGCTGCTGGGGAAAGGAAATGAGTGAGACACAGGGATCCTGCTTGCCAAGGGCTGGAGCTAAAACAAAGAGGAGGCAGCCACCTCACAGAAACACTTGAGCCTCCCATGGTGAGATAGTTCATTTCCTAATCTTGGAGGGTAGCATCTGGTAGATCAGATCTGGACAGAATGTGGATGACCCTCTAGTTGCAAGAGCTGCTTTTGTCTTCACCCTGTTCCGGATCCCAGATTCTTCCCCAGAGCTGTCATAGCCTTCAGGGAGCAACAGTGGTTGGGAGAGACACTACTTGCTGACACCACCTCCTCTCAGACCTGATAGGCCAGTGCAGAGCAGAAGAAACAGGGCAGCTGGAGATGCTAGCCACTGCACACTGAGCAAGTTCCTGAAGCTGGCTCTAGGCAGAGCAGCAGGGGTTGATTTCAGTGTGAATGGAAGCAGCTACCCCCCCCCACACACACACCCTTAGCACTGCTCAGATACAGCACCGAAGCTTTAATGCTCCACAATGGGAAGGCTTGGAAGAGTTAAATGTTGACTACATGCATAATACTCTGGGGAGACATTTTCTTTTATGTTTCTGACATATTTGTGCCTCCTTCTTAAAGCATAATTGGAAATTGAAGCCAAGGCTGATGTATTGGAGGGTAAATGAAATTAGCACTTACACAGCTTGGGAAGTGAATGATAGGCAATTGCTTTGCCTGCAATAAGATGATGACAGTGACTGCATGATTTGAAGTTGGTCCCAGTCCTTTGGTGAGAAATGCTTCCTGCTACTCTCTGTGGTGCAAAAAGATTAATTTGAGAATCAAGCCCATCTCCCCTGACTATTTGTAGCTTGATTGGTATCCTGAATCTTTTCTATATTGCAGGGGTGCAAATTAATGTCGATATCACACCCTCGGCCTATTTGTCAGGGGCATCAGTACTTCAAGAAAAGGGCTCTGAGCATCCCCTGCAAAAGCTACCAAGGAAATATTAAGCTCACTTCTGAAATGGTCCTTATGCTATCCGATACAGTCATATGGAGCGTCTCCTCTTTTTTTCTTCACAGGTGTTCCAGAGGCGGCAGAACGGCCAAACTGATTTTTTCCGGAAATGGGCTGATTATCGTGTTGGCTTTGGGAATCTGGAGGATGAGTTTTGGCTAGGTAACACCCACTTTGTGTTTTCTCTGCACAGGCTGCCCTGGGTTTCTGTCCGTCTCTATCCCTTCTGTGTCTGCCTGGGATTGTCAGAAGTGTGTGTCCACTGAGCAGTTGACAGCATGTGAATTGCTTTTGTGCCTCTTGCTCCGTTTGGCTCCGCTATTGATCTGTTATCTGACTGTGGTGTTTTCCTCTTTGCTCTGTCTCTTCCCATCCTCATTAATAGTCTTTTATGCTGATGGATCTTGACATGAGGCAAGTACAAAGACAAGGATCTGCCTGGTATGGGCCTGGTAGGGAACGGAGCACAGGAAGGAAGCAATGGGCAGGCTGGCCCTGTCTCGGAAGCTAGGCAACCAGCTAGCCAGCCTGCAGGGTCCAGAGAGAAATGAGACTCTGCTGGGTTCCTGAGAGACTGTTATTATCTGCTGTGGGAGGGGATGGGGAAAATGAGAGTGACATTAGAGGTGGTTTCCTAGAGGTGTGACACAGCAGGAAGTTTAGATGGAGGTTTAGGTGGGTACAGGTAGACAAACACACTCCCGTCAGCCTGATGGTGCTGATGCCAGTTCATAAGCAAGAGTGTGAATGCCTACATCTCTCTGTAAGATTTTCCTAATGGTTGATAAAGGGAGGCAGAGAGAAACAAATAAATGATCATGTTAGATACTTGCACTCTTCTCTCTCCAATTCCTGCCACGTTCTTGTTCAAGCCTCACAGTCTTCGAGGGTGGTGAGCTCCCTACCCTCAGCGTAACCTCATTGCCTACATGGCTCTAGAATGATCTTCCTCCTGTCCTGAATCTGAGGGAAGAGTAACAAGCTCCTCAGCCAAGGTGCAAGACCTTTTAATCTCCTTCTTTTCACCTTCTCTTATCCCATCCCAGTTCCCCAGCACCCACCTTCCATGTACAACCATGGAAGTTTCCTCTTCAAGAAACACTCCTTTCGCCAGTTTTCCCTTCCTCACCTTGGTGTCTACCTACTTATATCCAAAAGCCAAGTTAAGTACCTCTTCCTCCGTAGAAGCCATACTGACTTTTTTCTTCCATTGCCTGTGAGATCATTGGCCAAGTTCCCATATGGCCTGAATCATGGTATCTATTTTATTTTATCAGTTTAGACATATTGTATGTTTCTTGGGGTCTCACCATTCCTCTTTAGACATCACTACCTAAAACTGCTAGAGATACACGTATCTCAAGTGTAAATATCAATTAATGATAAGAATTCCTTGAGTATTTGTTAGATAGCCAAATCTATGTTTGTCAATATAGGAAATAAAAATGTTCGGTAAGAACCTTATAAAAACACTCAGAGAGAATTCAAACAAGCAGAAAAATGTGCTTTGATTTACAACATTTTCAAACAGCTTGGGAGCCAGTAATACCCATGAATCAATGTGGACATAAGTAGTCAAGACTCATGGCTACAAAAACCTAAGCCACTGTGCACTCGGTTCACAGTTTCTATCATTTCTGTGAAACATGTGAACTATTCAGCACTTAAATGTTCTATATATCACTTTCTATTTAATTAAATATTTGTTTTAAAGAAGCTTTATCCACTGCTAAAAAATGGAAAGCTAGTTGTTGTGTGCCATAAATAAAAAGATGCCTCAAAAGTAAAAGTATCATTTAAAACTGAAGAACAAGAAGAGAGCAATATTAATATGATTCAGTGACAGTTACATGCAAGAATACCAAGTTTATTGCCGCTGCTGCAGCTGCTGCTGCTGTTGAATGATGATCAGAAAGGGCTCTGTGTTCAGCCAACCATGAAATACTAGAATAAACCGGGACTGGGAGTTGAGATTAGGGTCAAGGTTAGGGTTTCGCTTCCATCTTAATTTAAGAAAAGCTGAGTTGGAATGTGGAACCATCCCTGTTACTTAGAGCTTTGTTCCCCCTTGTGTCTTCTCTTACTAGAGACGCCCTTTCACCCCCAGACTAACTGATAGACGACTGACAACAAGCCCCAGGGATCAGAGGTGGAAAGATCAGGGGAATAGGAAAGAGGAGGGGGTAGAAGAGGGAGAGCAGGAATCCTTTTGACACAGGCAAATCGGAGACAGGGAGGAAACCCTCCGAGCAGATGCAAGGAATAAGCCAGAGAAGGAAGAAAATGTGGTCAGGTCGGCTGCCTGAGAAGCTTGTTACAGAACCCAGAAGCTGGAAAGGGAAGCCTTGACATAAGGTAAATGAGGCCTGTTAGTTATTTCTCCCCACCCACTGCTGCAACAAAGTAACCAACAAAAGCAACTTAAAGACAGGAGGGCTTATTCTAGCTCCTGGCTGGAGGATCCAGGCCATCATGGCATCAGGCCTGATGGGGGCAAAGGAGGCAGTCAGTCATGTGGCATCCGGAATAGAAACTGCAAAGAGAGCTGGAACTCAGCGCCCTTTCTCCTATTTCTTCCATCCAGGCTCCCATCCCAACTGATTATCCAGCATTAGTCTAATCTAGACAGTCCCTCAGACAGATGGAGGTTTCTGTCCAAAGGCGCTTCTAAATCCAGTCAAGGTGACAATGAAGATCCCCCCCCCCCATAGGAGGGTTTGCTAACAGAGACCTGAGGCTATGTAGCTGAGCAGCAATACTCTATGGCCAGTAACTCTAGCCCACCCCACCCCCAGCCTTTGTTCTAAGTTAGGTTTTCTGGGACCAGATCCTAAAGAGGGATTCTCGTTCAAGTCATTTACTGGAGTGAGTTTTTATTCAAGTGGGATACTGAGAAGAGGGTTGACTGAACAAGGAGTGATCCAGAAAAACCATAACACTGAGCACTGATTGAAGAGTCCCTTTATATGGAGTCCAAGAGATGCTCTGGAGCATGAACTCCCGTTGGGCAAGGAAGCTAGTCTTCTGTACCTCCACTTCAGTCACTGCCCGGAGTCTGCTCTGAGGTCTGAGGAGAGGGAAGAAGTAACTCAACCCTCAGAGAGGCAGCTGTAAGCCACCAGCAGTCCACCTGTCTAGCAGCTAAGCGTCGGCCTCCCTAGATGCTAAAGCGCATCCAGGCACAACATCACCAGCAAACAGCACCTGCGCAAGTCAAGGACAGGCTGTGGGTCCGCAGCTCCACAAACAATATTTGAAAGCCTTCCGCTTGCAATCAAGGTAAAGCTTTAAATCTTAAGCAGGTAAATGAACCAAAGACCTAGGCCCTTGGCCGCCCACTTCACCCTCTGAACCCTCTCCTACAAAAGGAAGAGGGAGGTTTAAGTCATCTCTAAATTTCCTAGTACCTATACCACTTTTTATTTCTAAATCACGACACACTAAGATATCTGGAGTCACATCAAATTGAAAAGGCTCCAGCTTCCCCGGGGCAGATAGAAACCTGGAGGCTCAGAGTCCTCAGCAATACAAGGTCAATGACTCAAAGTTTAGGTAGCTAGGTCAAAATCAGAGAAAGGGGATATGAGAAAATATCAGTTCAGGGCTCTGCCTGAACTCTGACTTAACGGGTTTTGTACCTTATAAGAATTTCCTATCCCAAGGCCTGGGATGCTGAGGGGGCAGTGAGTGGGAGTTTAGAAGGACTGGTGAAGAGTGGTCATAGCAGATAAACATGTAGCACATGATGACACAAAAAAAGAAATGGAGCCAGGAGGCAACTAGCAACAGAGATGCTCCCCAACTTACAAGAGGGGGCTGCACATCTCCAGTGAAAATTCCGGGTAAGCTGAAAGGGTATTTAATGTACTAACCTACTAAGCATCACAGGTGAGCTACACAGTGTTCTGCCCTTGTGGTCACATGATTGACTGGCAGCTGTGCTCGGCGGAGCTGATGCCCAGCCTAAGGAGGCAGTATAGCATGGTGAATCTCTAGCCTAGAGAAAGACCCAAATGCAAAGTGCAGTTTCTAACAAATGCAGATAGCTTTAACACCATCATAAGATGGAAAATTCAAAAGTTCAGTTATCACGAACCCAGGACTCTCCATTTCTCTGACCTGTTTCTGGAGGCCCCAGAAATCCTGGACAGGAGGGGAGGGAAGCGCAGCACAATGCAATGTGGCCTGAGTCTTGAAGCTGCAAGGAACCCCTTCTGTGTCTGGGTATCTTGGGTTCTCTTGACCACATGTTTCTTCTACCTGTTGCTTCGTATAGCACACACCAAAAGGATCACACCTTTTCAAGACTTCTTGAGTTTTTGCTACCATCATTTGACATAGAAGATTTGGGGAAACATTACCAAGAATCTTGAGTTTGGGGGCTTGTCAGGTACTAGGTCAAGATTAGATGGTAGGAACCAATGTTGTCTGAAGTGACAGACCTGGGGTGACTCCTCACAAGAGGATAGATAGAGCCTGGCAGGGTCTGTTTGAAACCAGCCTTAAGGTGGAAGGCAGAACGATGTGGGTAACCAACTCCTTCTCCATAGCATGTTTCCCTCCCATTGCCAAAGCTGCTGGGGCAAGACTCAGTACACAGTCTGTTCTTCTCCACAGGGCTAGATAACATCCACAGGATAACAGCCCAGGGCCGCTACGAGCTGCGAGTTGATATGAGGGATGGGCAGGAGGCAGCCTTCGCCTACTATGACAAGTTCGCTGTAGAGGACAGCAGAAGCCTATACAAGCTCCGCATAGGAGGCTACAATGGCACTGCAGGTACCCGGGGGCCCCTTCCTGACTCCATGGGCAGTGGGTATGTGTTCTAGTCCTGAGCTGCAGAGGATGCAGCAGAACTCAATCGAGTTCGTGAACTATCTGGTAGCCGTGAAGGAGACAGTTGGGCCATTGACACCGATTTCTCCTATCCATTCAGGAGAACAGGAATCAATTTTTTTAGGGCTTTATTTATTATATTTTTCCATGGGAGAAAACTAATGATAGCATCTAGAAAATTGTGGTAGTGATGTCTGTCCCATTTTACAGAAGAGTCAGAAATTTGGCTGTAAGTGCAATATGTCTGTAAAGTTTACTTGGAAAGAATGTCATGGGAGAACAAAGGGTTGCTTACCTAGAGTAACCTGTGTGGGCTCCCATCTGAAGAGGGCAGAACTATTTCTCATCTTAGTAGGCATCTCCTTACAATGGCAACTAGGAAAATGACCTTTGAACTAAGGAAACAATTCAGATGCCCCAATCTTTAAGATGTTCCCTGTCTTAGGGTTTTTATTGCTGCAATGAAACACCGTGACCAGAAAGCAAGTTGGAGAGGAAAGAGTTTCTTTGGCTTACACTTCCGGACGATAGTCCATCATTGGAGGTCAGAACAAACTCAGCCAGGGCTAGAACCTAATGCAGAGGCCATGGAGGGGTACTGCTTACTGGCTTGTTTAGCCTGCTTTTCTATAGAACCCAGGACCACCAGCCCAGGGATGGCACCACCCACCATGGGCTGGGCCCTTCCACATTGATCACTAATTGAGAAAATGTTTTACAGCTGGGTTTCATGGAGGCATTTCCTCAACTGAGGCTCCGTCCTCTCTGATGATTGTCTTAGGTCAAGTTGACATACAAAACCAGCCAGTAGAGTCCCCCTCCCCCAAACATCAGCAGTCACCTAGCACCTCATGAAGGGGCAAAGGACATTGCTCAAATGTTTCACTGGCCATGCTGCCTTTGTTCTCCCAAGTGTACCTGGTCAGGTTTCCAGTGTTGACTTTTATGGCATTTTTACCAAGCAGAACAATCATCTGTTTCAGCGCTACGTACTCACAGTTCCATGAGAGCACCTCGCCCGAGCTAGCCCTTAGCCGTTGCCTAATGTGCTCCATTACAGCACATTTCGTGAAGCCTTTTCTACTGGGTACGCTACTGTTTGGTACATGGGGTTACTGGACACCTCAGTTCTCTGATTTTAGAGTTAAGTGCTGGTGTTTAATTTTGAAGGCATTTCCTATGACTCTTGGAATTAAAATGAACCTCGAGGTGTTACCCCTCCAATTACTGTATCTGCTCCATTGTTTCCGTTCTCAGCCAGGTATTGTTACTCTACAGAGAAAACACGCGTCCCTTTGCTATTGTTCACAGCAGAGTCACTCACAGGAGCAATCAGAGAAGCCTGAAGAGCCCCAACAAAAGGTCCAATTTGCCACACTTTGAGCATAAAACAGCCATTGAAATGGACATTAAACAAGATGTCAGACTAAATCATTTCAAAAACTAACCATTTACTATTCACTCCCTAGAATTAGAATTGCACCTACAGAGAAGCCTTTCATGCTTCTACAGGAAAAGAAACAAGCCGCCTACCTCAGTTTCGGTCTCCCCCTCATCCCTCCGCTCCATCTTTCTCTCTTCAATCTCATTTGTTGTCTGTCTACCTTGGGTTCCAGCCCTGGAAACCTCTCTCCCAGGCCAATTTCTCTGCTGCACCCCAGAGGGCAGAATTGTTAAGACTGCACGCCCCTCCCCTGGGTCAGAGGCCAGTGCTTCCTAAAGCTTGGCTGGTCAAATTAATGGTGATTCATCTCTTCAATCAATAAAACCCTGGGTTTATTTAGGCTACACCATTTCTGGCTCCACTGGCAACTAGCCACTCCAGGACCTCCAGCATTTCTGATGGCCCTCAAGCTCCAAGACTATCTACTACTGAGATTCAACCTGAGACTTCCAAACTGTGTCATCAGTAAGGGTAGAGCGACTCTTCTTGCCCGGTTTCAGGGGACTCTTACAGAGTAACCACCTAGTTTAAAACAGAAAATGCTGGAAAGTAGCTTTCTGCATAATAAGTGGTACTCTTAGGTTAAGGATACTCATATAAAGGGTGTCTGTATTGTACGCAAAGGATCTTTAAAAATCTGCCTATTAGTCTGAAACCACGACCAAAAAGCAAGAAGTTGCAGAAAGACTAGGAACAGTGGAGGGGAAGACTTGATGGGCTCCCTTGGGCCAGCTGTATGGTTGCAAGGAACAAGACCTGAGGGCAGAGACACATACCTATTAGAGCATACAGAAGGTTGAGATGGACAGATTGAGCACTAAGGCTAACCTGGACTATATAAGAAGACAGTGGGAGAAGGGAGGGAGGGAGGGAGGGAGGGAGGGAGGGAGGGAGGGAGGGAGGGAGCAGAGAGAAGGAGACAGAAAGATTAATTCCAGAAAGTCTTGGCACTGAAGGAGAAATTGAGTCTTTACTTGGAGGGAGGTCTTGTAAGTCCGTAGTGGCATAATGGGATTTGGGTTTTAGAAAGATCTCTAGGACAGCCCCAAGCAGGATACAGGAAATCTGAGGGAAGAACAGAGAGACCAACTGGTGGCTGCTGTATTAATCCTGATGGGAGATAACAGGAGCCCTCACTAATGTCAGAGCCGTGAGAAAGGTATGAATCGGAACAGCGGCTCAAGAGAGAAAGCCGGGGCTTAGCTCACGTCCTCGCGTCTTGAATATATGAGGTGCATGTATGAGGCACAAATGAGGAGGGAGGGTACAAGGACCAAGGGGACCACATCTGAAACTATTGGTCGGCAGCATCAAAGTAGAAACCAGAAAGAACTGGTGGGAGAATAAGGATGTAGTTAGTCCAGCGTGTAGAAGGTGAGATGACATGAACCTGAGCAGACACAAACCCGCCAGTGAACTGATGTCAGCAATGGGGCGCTGGAGGGTAAAACTGAACCCAGAACTTTTAAGGTAATGGGTTTGAGTAGGACTTGGGATAAAAGAGGTGAAGGTGATATTTAAGAGGGGAAGAGGAAAATATATTTCCTGCCCTTTTCAAGCAGGAATAGAAAGAAAAACTGTTTCAGTCGGTGGGATTGGCTTTGGATGAGTACAACGTCAGAATCCTTCAAAATCATATAGAGATGTGATGAGTATGAAGCACTTGCCTCAGGACTCTCCTGTAAGACTGACTGGCCAGAGTTCACAGAAGTACTGAGTGGACACCAGGGGCATACCTTGGCTGCCATAGAGTCAGAACTATGCCCCCTCTTAGAGGAAAGCGATCTTAAACATATCTAAGACAATTTTCATTCAACAAACAATGTGAGTTACTCCCCAGCATCTCCAGCCACAAATCCAACCACAGGTTTTATACCAAGCGAATGGCGGTCTGACTCTCACCTTGAATAATCGGTTCACCTAAGCCACTACACAACATCACTGACAAGGGAACACTCAGTCCCCATTTGTCTCTGAGAGAAAATCTCACTGCAGTGTTAGGCAGCCTATCTGGTGGTATTAAGAATTTCCCTTTTCCTATGTAGCCAAAATTTTCCTCTTTGCAGTCTCTGCGCACCCACCCTCCCATTTCCCCACAGAGTTTATTTATATGTTCTTCTTTTTCAACAGCTCATCACGTATTTGGCAATGATGACCATGGGTACTTTCTCCCCACCTAAGCCTGCTTCCCCTTAAGATACAGCGCATGCTCCTGCCCACTGCTCCTTTGGCATTGGATATGATGCCCCCGTCACCCTGGTTGTTGTAGATTGTAACTCCGGGTGCCCCTGTTTCTCTTCACAGGCAGAACCAAGTTCTCAGGAGTGCGGTAGTGGGTGCAGGCTGATCAGGGCCAGCAAGCACAGGGGAAAGGCAGGATGAACTGACACAGTGGAGATCCAGAATGATCCAAATCATCTTGGATCCCTGCTGTCTCCAAAGGACACAATGGGAACCTGAGTGTTACACGTCCCAGAAAAGACAGTGGTGTTAAGATGGAGCTATATGGATAAAGTTCCCAGCACAAAGAAGTGGATTAGAGAGGGAAACAGTGACTTCCGTCCCCCCCCCATGAGGTAATGAGGTAATATGCTGTGGCTCAGAAGGAGCAGAAGAGGTAAGCCAGGGTTCCATGTGGAAACGGACTCCTAAATGCTTCCGATTTTCACTTTTGCAGGAGACTCCCTCAGCTATCACCAGGGACGCCCTTTCTCCACGGAGGACAGAGACAATGATGTTGCAGTCACCAACTGTGCCATGTCATACAAGGGTGCTTGGTGGTACAAGAACTGCCACCGGACCAACCTCAACGGGAAGTACGGGGAGTCCAGGCACAGCCAGGTAGGCCATGTTCTGGCTGTGCTCAGTGGTCCAGAGGACAGAACCCGTTTAAAAAGAAGTTTTAGGAGCCTGAGAAAAGACCACGCAAAGAGCACTTTGTGGGAGGAGATCAATTCATCACAGACTTAGTGGCACTCTAAAAGGGGGCCCCAAAAGGAAGAGAGCAGAAACCTAAAGTAACCAGGGCTAGTTCCCAAAGAGACTGCAAGTCCACAATCTGGGCTAGGTGACAAACAGTGGAACACACTCAGGGAAGCCCCTTCAGTTCCTGGCAAACCCAGAGGTTGGTCACCCCAAGTGGAAACCACCCAAGTCTCTGCATCACAAAGGAGCTGTCCCCAATTACACTATTCAAAATGCTTCCTCCTAGTTGGGATCTTGACACTCACCATAGTCATCCTAGTGCAAGAAACTTCTGAAGGCAAAAACATAAAACTGGCAATAAGAAATGTCCCACAACTTGTCTTGTATAAAGCCCCAGACCTGTTTAAAGGGAACGCTAGAAGGAGACCCAGCTCTCTTTGTCACACTGGGAACCCTGCATAAACTGCTTGTTGCTGGAGAAGAGCTAAGTCCATAGTGGATCTCTCTTGATCCAGCCATTCTCTTCTTCTCCAGCTGTGGGGGCAGGGGTATCTGACATGTTCCTCTCTCTCACGCGCAGGGGATCAACTGGTACCACTGGAAAGGCCATGAATTCTCCATCCCCTTTGTAGAAATGAAGATGCGGCCCTACAACCACCGGCTCACGGCCGGGAGGAAACGGCGAGCCTTGAAATTCTGAGCACTGGGCAGCCAGCCACCAGCCAGACGATCTTTTCTGTCATTTGTTTGTATTTTATAATATGAGACAAGGGGGGGAGGGGCAACAGTAATGTGCTTCACAACATATTCAGAGCATCTGAAGGAAGCAGGGATCAGTTAGGTACCATCTGCCCATAGTTTCTGCTGCCTTGGAGCCTGACCCTCGGGCTACACGCTCCCTGCTAATCAATCCTCTATAATCATCCCCTCCTTTCTCACAGAGGAGGAAAACGGGGGAGTTGAAAACACAATTCAAAAACAGACCACAAAATACAGATTGTTATGGCGACAGGCACACACACACACACACACACACACACACACACCTTCTTCCTCTACTATCTTATAAGACCCCTTCCTCTTCTAAATAATAGTAAATTGGTCACAGCCAACCATGGCCAGGTGACCACACCAGTGCAGGGGAGCTCCGGTAAGAAAGCTTGGCCAGTCTCCTCTTAAGAGGGAAGACACCTGCCACACCCCAACACAACAGCTCAAGTTCATTGACATGAGCTAAAGATTTTCACACTCTGACACTTAACTTGCAGGAGGAGTGGCTTCTCTTCCAGCCCCACCCCTTCTCTAGTTCTATCCCTTAGAGCCTGAAGACCTAACAACCCAATCATTGTTTAAAACTCCAGTTGCCAAAGTTGCCCCTGGGTGTTATAAGCCACTGTCATGAAATAACTTTGGTGGTGAGACTTGGGGAAGGGTTTTGTTTTTAGCTTACATCAGGCATTGAGAAGGGACAGGAGTAGAAATCAGGGCACCTACCAGGGAGTCTGTAAGTCCCACTGGAAACTGACCTTACTTAGAGATTCTTTTTTTTTTTTTTTTGCATTTCTGATCAAAGTTACCATGCATCCCTTCTCCTGATGTCCTAGTTGAAGGTCTCTAGTTCTGTCTTCAGCCAGGCTACCCTCAGTGCAAGTGGCTTAGCAATAATCAGGGGAAGAAGTTGTATGAGCATCAGCCATTCTGCTGACTAATATATCGCCCTAGGAGGAGAGAGAATGGTTGTTCTGGTCTTTTGTTTTGGTCCTGTGGTAGGTAGAGCTGACCCCTCCAAGAGGTGAGATCATAAGAAACATTTTCCACACCCCTTTATTATTCTGCTTTGGGAAGAAAAATGAAAAGTGCCAGAGGAAATTGCATTTAGAACTCCAAAGGTGAGAGGAGCGAACTCTCTGCCCCCACATGATTTGATTTTTAAGCCCCGGGGAACTGGAGGCTATAGAAGCCATGACCTCTCAGCTTCTCCTCAAATCAAAACCCAGCCAGTCTTCCCTGCAGCATCTGCCCAAACTGCACCAAGGTTCTCAGCTGGTCTCTCCCTGTCCCCACTCCTCCCCGAGGCCCCACTGTGTCTGCTACAGGGCCCATGGCTGCCATCTGGAGCATCTTGTACCTTTGCCAACCAAGTTACAGATCTAACAGACACTATCTAACCAAGCTTAGGACCAGAAGCAACAGGCCTCTTGGAGGACAATCACACGCCTAGCATCGTGAAGTTGGAGTCAGCTTGCCATTTTTTCCATCTTTGTGATGGAGACTCACTGCCACACTCATGGCCAAACAATACAAGTAGAGTTTTTATTTCTTAATCCAACATGTACTTCAAACAGCTAAGAGGAACCTATAAGTTATATGAGATTTAACTATATAGCCCAACCATGCAGCATTGGAGGCAAACACACTCAGTTAGGGATATAGGGAGGTAAACACACTCAGTTAGGGACTTGAGGGCTGTGATATAGGGCCACCTCTAAGATGTGGGTTTATTCATATCTTTGGGCTTCAGGTTCCTCACCTATTGAATTGGAGCTTAGGCCAAAAGGATTTCTAACACCCTTTCAGTTTTCAGCCCATAAAGTGAATCTGTGATAGGAAATGCAAGATCCAAGTTGGCCTTGGTTCACCATCACAATTAAGGAAAAGTCAGAATTCCCACAGAGGAGATGGAGGAAGGGAAGGAGACCGTTTCAGAACACTCTCTCTCTCTCTCTCTCTCTCTCTCTCTCTCTCTCTCTCTCTCTCTCTCTCTCTCTCTCTCTCTCTCTCTCTCACACACACACACACACACAGAGAGAGAGAGAGAGAGAGAGAGAGAGAGAGAGAGAGAGAGAGAGAGAGAGAACAATGCCAAGAGAAGCTGAAGTCATTATGTATTGTGTCTGTGCACGAGAGCCAAGGGCCTGGGTGTGCCCGTACAGCCCACCTCATCAAGGAAGCCGAAATGGAACAAGATTGCATGTCATCAGTTCCAGGGAAAAATCAAGAAACATCAATGGAAATCTAAACCTGCCTTTCATGGGAACTATTTTATCCTGTGGAACATTTTTTATAAATAGTATCAGCAGCATCACCTGGAATCGTTTAAAGGAATTGTAAAGTAAGGAAGGGACTTCAAAGATCAGCTCATCCAACCTTCTGTAAAAGGGATTCTAGATTCCTTTTGTTAAGGAGAGAGAGAGACCCACACCAAACTATGTTTTGAAGAGACTATGCAGTCCACTGTCTTCCCAAGATCCGTGGCCAGCTTGACGCAAAACATGTGAACTTGACTGACTTAACCCTCTGCACCTCTTCACTGGGCTTCTTAAAGATTCCTATTTTATCTGCTCCTTCCCACGCCTGCTTTTGTTCCTGACGAGGCAGGCAACAATACTCAGCACCCATCCTAAGCACCCAACTTACCCATAAAGGACTAGGATTGACTTGAAGTGGACACTGTTAAGAAGATGAGTGTAATTGCAGACACATTAGAATACACACTTACAGGAAAACCCAAACAACCAGTCACTAGTGTCCGCCAAGGATTCATGGCCGAGAATCGAGAGCCAGGCGGCTCGGCTCTTCCTCTTTGCATGCCCTGTTGCTGATTGTTTCCAGCGTATTGAATTCGCATTTTCCAAGGGCTGCCTCTGGAAGAGATTGATTGTGAAGACTCTTCGTCTGGGATGACAAACCTGAAGAAGGTACTAGCCTTCAGAACATACTTTTGGGTAAAGGGGACAACCTCGTCGTGTTCACAGCACCCAGACACCTACTTAACTACTTTTGAAAAGCGGGGAATGATGGAGCGCGGTTCCTCTGGTTCCAGGTGAGCTCGTGCCAAAGAAGAGCCCAGAACTCATTAAACAGGAGATTGGTTTGTAAAAGAATAGCAACATGGCAGCAGGGAAAAGTGAAGCAAATGTCTATGGATATTTAGATTTCCCCTCTCCCAGCTACCAACGCCCTATCTCTGAAGAGGTGAGGTTCACCCCTAATATCTTGGTGCCTTCCACTGGGGAGCCAATCAGCTCCTCACAGACAGAACACTCATTTCAAAGGTAAATGTGAAGTACCCAGGTTGCCTTGCCAGCGAGCTGGATGCCTAAACAAACTACCCTATCAGAAGTCCAGCGTCAGGGCAGAGCTATAGATTACGGGGCAAGAGGTCATTAGAGAATCTTTTTAAAGCATGGGTTGAGAAAGGTTTGGTGAGTTCCCCTTCATCCTTTTCTCTGGAGAAAGAAAAATGGGACCCGTGAGAACACCGGATGCACCAAGCTGAGAGAGCAGTCAGTGACCACATTTGAAAATGCTCCCAAGGCTTAGCGTTTGCTTTTTCCTCTACCCAGGATTTCCAGAAGCGGAGGCACTTCCCCAGGATTGTATGGAGGAGTGGAGATCCTTTCCCCCCTCTATTTACATCTTACCGGCTACTCTGAAATGCCCATAACAAGACTCTGAAAGACTCAAATAACCTAATTTCAATCTTAGAGGAAATGGGATAATGCTTAGCTTACCTCAAACTTGCCCAGGCTTCAAGAAGGGGCTTGGGAGCCCCAGAGATGGGGTGGACCTTTAAGGTCTGGGGTTCAGTCTCTCATCCATCCTCCCTGGGTGGCCAGCTTTCATTCTGATAGTAAAGGAGTTAAGGTTCCCTCTCTGGGAAGAAGGGGGCAGAGTTAGTTGGCTCCTGGCCCATGGCTTGGGGCTTCTCTTTTATTGTCCCGCTGAGTCCTCAGAACAAATTTCTAAAGTTCTTTGACTAACTGCTTCCCTTAGCCTTTGTTTCTTCCACAGCCCAACTCTCCCATATGAGTTGCATCTCTCCTGATAATATTGCAGTATTTTGGTCCTGCCAGGCAAAATGGGGACTCACAGAACAAATGAAAACTGCTCCAATTAAGCAGGAAAACCAACTCCATTAGTAAGAGATGCCATGAGAATCAGGGAACGTTCCTGTTTTCAGGGATGAGTTGATGCAGACCTGGGTCCCTTTGGAAAGAGTGGCTTTGGTTCAGCCTAACTAAATCCACGCTGGATTTAGATAAAGCCAGTTTTGTATTCTTCAAGCTCTGAGAAAATAGCTAGGAAGAAGGGAGGGGGGCGTAAGTTAAATAAAAGAAGCCAATGGAGACTCATAAAGCAAAAGCAAATCTTAATGATGGTCCCACAACAGAAACACAGAAACCGGGTGAGTGGCCATGGTCAAGAAGACAGCACTGGCTTCTCTAGTTCGGGCCTCTAGACAAGGTTCCCATGGATTCAGTCCTTTGTCTGCATCAGGAAGTCACCGGAAGCTGTACTGCACAGAAGCAAAAAGCAGTAGGGTTTTCTTTGTTGCTGCACCAATCTTGCCTCAACCTCGCTTTTCCTTCCCAAGCCGGCACAGCCTGGTTTGTCATCGGAAGCATTTCTGATTTATTTTTCAAGGTCACTCTGCTTCTGAAACATGACTTCATTGCACCTGCAGTGCTTGGTTGTCCAAATGTCCTTGGCAAACCTCACAGTCTTTGGACAGTGTTACTTTTTTTTTTCCAAACAGGAAATCCTCCTTCCTTCCACAGCTTAAGAAGGCTACTGCAGAGTATCTGTTTAACACAGCCCTTGTTCCTAAGAGGGCCTCTGTTAACTTAACAGAACAGCACCCTATTATCCGAGCTGTGAGGCTGGGCTGATGCTCAGTTTCTAATTTAGAAATATTTAACTCTTTAAAAGCCCCCTCATGGATCCTTTCCTGAGCATGGTCAATGGCTACTTGCTCTGGTGGAAAAAATACAAGAAACCTTGAGATGCAGGCACACCATACTGAGGGAGCCTGGGAGGGGGTAGCATTGGGGGACAGATACATGGATGGAAGCTGTTTTCTTCTAGTCAGTGGTTTCACAGCCCCCAGAGAAACCTATTGCCTTTAAACAATCCATCATTGTGAACTAACATACTCAACCCTGTCTCCTAGGCAAATGTTTAAAAAAAAACACTCCTTTGGAGCCAAAGGAAATTCTTGAGATCACCTGACATGACCCTCTCACTTCAGGCTCAAGTAAAGCAAGGCCAAAACAGACAAGCAGCTTCCCTAGTTTGCACAGCCAATGAGGCATAGAGCTAGAGGCAGGCCTGGTACAATATTTTTTATTTAGATTTTGGTTTTCCTTTAGTAGAGACTGAGAAAAATAGTACTTATTGCACACCTATTGATCAGATTCTGTGCAAGGGGCTTCACATCAATTACTTTATTGAATCCTAACCAAAATCCAGAATCAGTTTTATAAATGAGGGAAAAGGAAGCACAGGATTCTTAAGTAACATGCCTGAAGTCACACAGTTTCTGAGGAGAGCCATCATCTCTGATAAAAAATGTCCTTGACTTTTTTTGTGTGTAAAGCAGCTGGCACAATGAGCCACGCAGTTGCCACCTTGGATCCGTAACATTCTCATGGAGGCCTTTCTAATTCCATCTCTCCATTTCCTCTTAACAAATGGAAATTCTTGCTCTACCCCGCCTCCTGCTAAGTACTCCAGGGGATCCTCAACCCCAGCAGTCAGAAGTAGTAAGAAATAGCCTTGCAGCAATTCTTTCTGTTAAAAAAATTTGAAGATAAGGCCAGGACACAAATGTGGTTTCCCACCCCAGTCCTGGGGCAGCACAGCAACCTCCAAACAGAACCAGGATCAAGGAAGGTGAGACCACAGGATTAAGTTCCTAGGGTATCAGTTTGACCCCAGAATTTGCAAAGAGTTATGAAGTGTGTTCAAACAAGCTACAAATAGCAGCAATTGCAAACATCCTATGAATTTCTAGGCTAAGATCAGCAGGGTGCAGGCCAAATTCTCATAACCCCCCTCTCAGACTCTCAAGGCTCCCTGAAGGAACACATCTGAGGACCTCTGTGAAGACTGGAGCTACAAGAAGGTGGGAGAGGAGCTCTATGTATTCCTTCCCTCAGGTCTTTCTCCCACTCCTCACCCCATTGAACCAGAACAATGTGCTTCAACCCTGACTAACTTTGCCACTTTAGAAAGATATCAGAAACTTGGTGGTTTCAACCATCAGGCAACAACTCCAACACTGAACCCCCTTTTCCTCTCCTTGAAAGTTTATGTTAAAAGAACTAGATTTCCCAAGAGGGAATTCAAGTCCCCTCAGTGTGGTGGCTCCTTGGCAGCACCTCAGACATACATTAGCTACAGCAAACACTGCAGTTCCTGCAAAAAAACATCCTCCAGGGGAGCAATCCTATGCCAGCTCCTTTCTTTGCTACCACCCTTCAAGGCCTAGTTCCACTGCGGGGACTCACAAACAGGGGTCAGAATCTGTAAGAGTCTATTCCCTCCTGCTGTTCTTCAACAGACATGCTCTTCCCTATAGTTCACGCACGCGCATACACACACACACACACGCGCACACACACACACACACACACACACACACACACACACTGTTCCAACCCCAAGTACCCTCAAGCCTACAGGAATTCCCGGTGCCCTAAACAAGTCACTGTGACCCTGAGGGATTACTACCTGGGGCTCCAAGCGGATGAAACTCAACCCGGTGGTCTCTCATTTGTCATCCTGAGAAATCCTAAGTACCAAATCCCCCAACCCCTCCGAATTTGAATTTGTGGTTTTAACCTTTAATAGCCTTTTCAGGTAAAAAAAATAATAATAATAATAA